CTTTTTTGAAGTGTGGTTTGTACTGTTGTTTTGATCCCAGACAATTATGCCTCCTCCAGGTTTTTTTTAGATAAATTTTTAATAGCATTGGGAATTGAACCTGGGACTTCACATGTGCTAGATATGTATTTTACCCCTGAGATACATGCTCAAACCAAAAATCACGTGCCTCCCCCCGCTTTGAGGCAAGGTCTGTTATGCAGCCCAGGCTGGCCTGGCCCTCATGGTCCTTCCATCTCAGCCTCCCGAGTGTTGGGATACCTGCATGTGCCACCATGCTGGGCCGAGATGATGCTTTCTGAACCTTGCACCAGCTGTACACTGCTCCCACATCTGTCCTTGCTGCCTCTCTGTGCCATGTCCCGTGGACACCATGGTTCTTTTCCCCTTCAAATGCTGTGCTTTGTTGGGGCAGGTCACCAAATAGACTGGACCATTGGGGGACAGATCTTGGGGAAAAGAATGACATGTTCCCTTGGGTTAGTGACAGCCTTGGATTAGGCTTTTCATTTCTCAAGTCTCCTTGGACCTGCTGTGTAAGAGAGTATGTAATACCCACCCACTCACCCACTCACTCACCCACCCACCCACTCACCCATCCATCCACCCATCTATCCATCCATCCGCCCACCAACCTCCCTTCCACCTACCCATCCATCTACCCTTCTACCCACCCACCACCCATCCACTCTCCCACCAACCTACCCTTCCCCTCGCTCAATCCCCCATCCCCCCATCCCCCATCCACCCACCCTCCCACCCGCTCTTCAAGAAGAGGAGGGAGTTTCCAACATTCCCTAATCATGACAGTGAACAGCCAGTTCCCATGGCTGACTTGCTTCTGCTTTTCCCATCTCCACTCAGAATAACTTCCTCCCTAATTCCCCTCGTCTGGGACAAAGTCCCCCTTCAGTTAGGGACCTGTCACACCCAGGCTCAACTCAAAGGAGAGAGTTAGGAAAGGTTGCTGTGTAACTTTGGACAAGATGCCTAGTCTCTCTGTTTCCTCTTCTACACCCAGGAGTAGTAATGATTGCGTTACTATCACTATAGCACTTGACATCCCCACCGCCACCCCGCAACCATTGTGTGGGGCCGCAGTAGTGAAGGACTGGTGGTCAGACTCCAAGAGGGTGGTTTTTGCATCTACTCCTGAAAGCTGTGAGCCTTAGAAACTCTTCATTCACTCAAGCCTCAGTTTCCCCAACTGGGACTAGATGTTGATGCTGGGCCTCACAGGGCTTACTCTGTTTGTTAGTGGTGTACTTTGCAGCGCGGGGGGAGGGGGGGGGGAGAGCACTGCAAGCCACAGATGCGCCAGCCCTTTGTGTCTGGCTGCCTCCCTTCACCACAGGCCACCTTGGAGGTGGGCTGCCCTGCTCCCACCTTCCGTAGGCAAGGTTCCATTTTCCACGCATGAGGTCCACGTGGCTCTCCGAGCTGTGCGCTTACAGTCTCCCCAGCTCGCTGCGAGGAAATGCCCCCTCCTACTGAAAATTACAGTAAGAAGTTGAGGTCATACCCTGGACGCACTCCTAGACTCAAGTGGTCCTCTTGTGTCCATTCTGTGGTTAAGATTCCTTCCCAGGGGGAAACGTAAACAACCGGTCTTCCCAGGGTCCCAGTGACAAACCAAGGCACCATCCCATGAAAGTTCACTCTGGGGACCAGTGGGTTTATTGGACTTCCTTACAGACTGTGGGTGAAAGGTGACTTACGGGGGGGGGGGGGGGGTGTGCCTCCCTCCACAGGCAGCACCTGTAACCTTTACCCGGCAGGGATGAGGGCTTCCCTGAAGCCACATAGACCAAGTGCCCCCACACCCCAGTTTTCCCTGGTCTGTATACTCTAGCCCCTCCCCCAGGCCACATGCAGTTCGGGCAGAGCTGTGTATACCCGTAGAAGGAAGCAGCAGGATACCCGGGAGAGGGTCTCCATGGAGTCGCTCCATAGAGGGGTGTACAGTCAGCAAGTCCACCCAGGACGGCCCTCTTGCAGGGGATACCACTGAACTCTACAGGATGCTGGTTGCTTGGCTCCCAGGACAGTCATGGCCTGATAGCAGACCCCAGCAGGTGACAGCCTCTGCAGATGGCTCACACACCTGGCGGAGGGGACCGTCTCCTTCCCCTCCCTGGACATGAACTTGGGAAAACTCTGGTTCCTGTCCTCTACTTTCCCTTTCTCCTTTCTCTTTCTCTGGAGACAGCATCTCACTGTGTAGCCCAGGCTGGCCTGGAACTTACAATCTCTGCTCCAGCCTTCTGAATACTGAGATGTCAGGTATGCGGCCAGGCCTGGTATGATCTCCTCCAGTTTTGAAAAGGCTCAGGACTCCCCTAGCCTTGGCTGCCTCTTGCCTGCACTGCCTTTTGTTGGCTGGATAAATAAAGGAGCCACTAATGAATCCACAGGCCCAAAGCCCCTTTGCCCCTGCTGGTTTTCCCTGCCCAGTGAGCATCACAATGCAGCTTTGTTCTTCTGTCCCGTTGTCCAAAAAAACATCTCGCTTCCTCTCCTCTCCTCTCCTCTCCTCTCCTCTCCTCTTGGCTCCCTCCAAGCAGCGAGGCCACTGCAGTTTCCAGGCCCCGCGGCTGCAGCTCCTGTGCCTTTTCCCGAGAGAGGAGCCGTGTCTGGCATCCGAGGGTGCTGCCTGCACCCCCTGGTCACCACCCTCTTAATGGGCCAGCAAGCCCTACCCGCAGAAGGGTGCACCCTGCTGGCTGCCAGCTGGAGGATCCAGGTGAGCTTTGGGGAGGGTAGTGCCCAGTCTGTCTACCTACTAGCCAGATGTTCCTGGAGTCCCTGGGAAGAGGGGACAGGCTGCCAGAGTGGCCCCTGAGCATCTTCCTGGGGCAGCTTCTGAGTTGGTCTGTGAAATGGGATTTCTAGAGCCCCGATGGCTGCCACCCTGGGGGGTTGTTGTAGATGGTGGTTCTGTTTTCTTCTCCTGTATCAGCTGGGATGGAACCCAGTTCCTCACAAACCTCGGGCAAACGCTCTGCAACTGAGCTGTATCCCCAGGCTTTTGCCCTCCCCCCCCCCTTTATTTTGAGATAGGGTCTCATTAAGTTACCCAGGATGTCTTGGAACTCTCAACAACACCTCCCCACCACCCCCAAGCCTTATGAGTAAGTGAGATTGGAGCCGAGTGGCCGGGATTTGAGCTCGTCTGGTTTATTATCCTACCTTCTCTGTGGCTTCCGAGTGTTTATTTTCCTTGCTACAGAGCACAATGTCGTGGTAGTGCTGTGCATAGGCACCAGTGCCTGGACTGAGCAGGCATCCAGGGAATGTGGCATGGAAGGGTGCATGCTGGCTGTGGCTTTGAGTTGGGCAGTCACCTGAGCGCTTGGTGAGGCGCAGCGGGCCTCATCTGCATTTGAGACACATGCTGATTGAAAAGTCGAGGCTGGTCAGAGTTGGGACACAGGACTGGTTTGGGGCTGTGAACATGATCCTGGGAACACTGGCCTACCTAAAAATAGCCCATTCCGAGGCCCCAGCCCCGTCCAGCAGCCCTACCTCCCAGCTGGCTTTTGCAGTGAGCCCAGCCAGCCAGCATACATGTCGCAGCTGGAATGCGGCTGCATTTGGAAATAAACAAATTGGCCCCTCTCCTCGCCTGGGACTTTCCTTTATCAGGAGAGGGCCTCTGAGTGAAGCTGAGATGCGCCTGTCTGTCCTGCAGCCTACGTGCTCTGGGGAGGGCTCTGTGAGAGGGTGGGGGTGGGTACCTTGAAAGTTCCTCAGCCGATTTGAGGGGTAGGGTGTGCAGAGCACTGGTCTCTTCCACAGATGGCTGCTGGCAGGGGAAAGAAAGCCAGCCCCCCCCCCCCCCCCCCCCCCCCCGTGCGCGCCCTGCCTTTCAGGGAGATGCTGTGTGTGGACTAGCATGTCCACTAGCTCTCGGGTCAGTGCGGTGTGTCCCCAAGGAGCAGCCATTTTGGGAAGCGGAGCTCAGACAGGGGGACTTCCGCATTTGTATTTCTGCTATGATTATTTAGATCATAAGAAGAGACCGTAGGAGCCTGCCACACATCATGCATGTGACTAGGGTGGTGGTTCAGAGCTCAGTGCAGCTTGGTCCAGGGGAGGCCTTTGTTTCTCCAGGCCTGGGTGTATGGGCTGGGCTCCGTGGAACAAGACCAAGCTAAAGGCATAAGACTCCCACCACCAGAAAGCTCGCTTCAGGTGTCCGTACAGGCAGACGGGAGGTGCAGGAATGGGACAGGTGGGGACATGCATGGCGGCATTTTCTGTGGTGAGGGGGAGCTGGGCACAACCCAATGCCTGTGGGTAGGAAGGTGTTATCAGTGTACTGCGGTGTGCTCACATTGGGAGCGGAGCACTGTTCCGTGGCCCTGCCTTCCTTGTGAGTCAGCCTGACTGTGCTTAAGGAGACGATCGGGAGGAAGTCAAGTTTTAGAATGCATGTAGAGATGATATTCCCATCAGATAGAGCAAACGTGTGCACCAGCAGCAAAAACAGGGTAAGAAACTATGAAAGGCCAGTGAGGTGGCTCAGTGGGAACAACATCCGCTGGAAAGACTGGGGACCCGAGTTAGAGCCCCAGGACCTACATTGTAGAAGGACAGACTGACTCTTGAAAGTTGTCCTCTCACACACATACACACACCCCACCACACACAGAGTGCATTAAATAAATTAAAAAGCCTGGACAGGAAGGATACACTGCTTGTTACATTTGAAAAACTCACTTGAAAAATGAGAGCCATGCTCCTTTCCAGAAATTGCCTGTAACTAATGAGGAAATTAGTAAATAAACAGCTAAGGGTTTCCAGAAAGTAAACACTGGTGCTACTGGCCAACCAGGGTGCGGGCCCATTTGGATGGAATATGAGTGAAAATGGTGTTTAAATGACAGCATTTCAAACAAGTTCATTTTCCTCACACATGAAGGAAACTTGAAGGTTAGAAGGTCAAGGTTGGTGTGGTCACCAAGAAGCCAGATCCCCTCTGGTTTCCTTCTCTGTCATCTCTTGTCTGTGTGTTCCAAGGTGGTTGCCCGAGCACCAGCCGTCAGATTGGCTCTCCAGCAGTAGATGATGAAGGGCTGGAGAAGGGCTTGAAATGCTCTTATTTGTACGTCATTGGCCAGATGTTAATGTCACACAGGTACACCGGGCTATGAGGGAGGTTGGAAATGAGGCACCAGCACAGTATCATTCTGCTATAAAGAAAGGGCTACACCTTTAATCCCAGTACTCGGGAGGCAGAGGCAGGCGGATCTCTGTGAGTTCGAGGCCAGCCTGGTCTACAGAGCGAGTTCCAGGACAGCCAGGGCTGTACAGAGAAACCCTGTCTCAAAAAAACAAAAAAACAACAACAAAAAAAAAAAAATGGAAAGCAAAGAATAAGAGAAGGGGTCTCCATCACACTCAGATGATGGAGGATGGAGTAATGAATGGGTTGGGTTCAGACCTGATGAGTTTGCCACTGGGCCCTGTACTTGGGCAGAGTTTCTGGTTTGGGAGGTGTGTGTTTGGAGATGGTGGTGGGGAGGCTGGAGAAGGGAAGGAAAAGCCAGACCCTAGGTCTGCTTGTGTGCAGGGGAGAGGCCTATCCTGTGGCCCCGGGAAGCTGGTGAAGAACAGCAGTTGATGTGGATTCTGTACCAGAAGGCTGGCAGGAGCAGGAGGCCCAGATTCGGGATGGTGGTGGGGAGAAGGGGGGTAGCTAGGGGAGAAGGAAGGGACCCTCGAGGAGGTGAAGGGAAGTGACTCTTCATGCTGGTGGCCTGGCTTCAGGCTAAAATGCCACCGCCCGAGACTTGTGTTAGAGACTTGGCTGTCCAGCTGTTTGGAATGTGACAGGGCCCTGAGGATCCTGACCTCAGCAGTGGATTGACCAGTTGACCATTCCTTTCGGATGGTGTTATTGGAAGTGATGGGAACCAGGAGGTGTGGGTGGAAGCAATCTCTCCCCCACCCCTCCTCTCCTCTGCTTGTCTCACCTCCCAGGTCCTCCTGCCCTGATGTTCCGGGTGGAAAGCACAGTCAGAAACCTCTGTAACTATGACCCACATCAGTCCTCATTCCGTTTACATCGATTCACTCAGTCTGTCACTGTGGAGAAAAGAGACTAACACAAGCCTTGTGGCTGATGGACAGCAGGCATCTGAGGCGACAGAGGGGTTGGGGAGCAGGGGTCAGGCCTGTGGCCTCCAGAGCCTGCAGAGGGCCTTGTTGAACTAGTAAGAGCCCTGTCAATCGCCTGTGCACTGGGCAGAGCAAAGGATCAGATGGGAACCACTGAGTGACAAATGGGTGAGCCTGGGCTCAGAGTGGCCTCACGCACCTGCATGACAGTTTTGCCCAGAAGATAATTCACTCAGCCAGGAAGCCCATGGGCTGGGGTTGAGATTGCTTGAAGAGCGGCTTACGAAGCTGGGTAGATTCAAGGGGGTTGGATGATACTCATCAGTAAACCCCGTCCTACAAGGCAGAGAAGGGTGGGATCCATTTTGCAAACATTCCTGTTGGAAATGGTGCAAAATCAACAAGCCCCTGGTCTGGGAGGTGTGAATTCCAGAGCATTTTCCCACGACTGAAGAGCTGATCACCCTGCTTGATACAGGTCTGCTCCAGAGCTTTGTTTGATTTGAAATGATGGTGATAGTGGTGGTGGTGGTGGTGATTATGGTGAGGAGGATGATGATGGTGAGGCTAATGATGATGGTGATGAGGGTAATGGTGGTGGTGGTGTGTGACTATGTGTGAGTGTGTGTGTGTGAGAGAGAAAGAAAGAGGGTGCATACATGTTATGGCATGCATGTAGTGGTCAAAGAACAACTTTTAGTAATTGTTTCTCTCCTTCCACTGTGGGGTCCAGGCATTAAAAGCAGGCCATCAGGTTTTGCACCAAGCACCTTTACCCTCTGAGCAGTGCTCTCTGGGGTGTACATCCTGGGGCATCAGGAACGTTGAAAGCCATGCTAATGTAGCAGACTGTGACTGGTGCTTTCTCCTGCTTGTCACCATCATTAGAAAGAAAGGTTCCTGGTTCTGGATTTCCGGATGGGTGTGTTTCATAGCTCAGCATTTCTGGGATTAGGGTGCAGCATCTCCCCCGAGCACCACTACTTTCTGAGGATGTTCTTATTAGCTCGATGGAACATTTTTCCAATGAGTGTCCTGCTTCCCATGGGTGCATCCAGGTTAGATCTGGTTTCATTGATCAGCAGAAACAGTTCTGACTGGGTTAACTTTTCAGGGAGGCAGTGGGCTCTGCATAATCTAACACATCCAGTCTTCAGAGGAGATGAATGCTCAGGGATTTCTATAAAGAGAGGGCAGGGCTCCAGCCGAGATCGACCTAAAGTTCAGTCCTTTCTCCTCCACAGCAGGCACAGGGTTCTTTACTCTGGCTGTAGGTATTTTCAGACTCAGGATGCGCACTCTCCTCCCATTAGAAACCCCACTTGGTCTTCTTACCTTCTCGATGAACAGCATCGCTTCATGATTATAAGTCTTGCACACAGGACTGGCGAGATGGCTCAGCAGGTAAACATACTGCCATGCAAGCCTGGCAACCGAGTTTGGTCCTCAGAACCTATGTCAAGATGGAAGAAGAGAGCCCATCCCACAAAGCTCTCCCCTAGCTTCCATGGAGTGCACCTGGCATATACATGTACCCTTTTAACAATCACTATTATTATTATTGTAGACTTTTTAAAATTTCAAGAAAAATCACACATGTTCTTTGGAAAAAATGCAAAAAAGTAAAAACACCAAATAAGATATCCTCCATTTCCAGCTGGGTATGATAACACTGGCTTGTCATCCCATCATGCTAGTGAAGCTAGCCTGGGCTACATACACACCTCCTCGATCTCCAGTATTTACGGTTTAATATGTCTGTTTTGTTTTAAAACATAAATTGGCCTCAGTGTTAAAGGAAAGGAAAATGATACTGGATGGTCTAAATGCAAAGGTGGCTTGAGATTATTCTGTGAGTTCAGGCTTCATAGCTTGCATTAGAAATTTGCTATAGTGTGACCATGGGTATGGCCTCCATCTTCGGTCCTTTCCGACAGGCCTTTTGTCGGGGCCTCACTGGTCTCTGTCACAGCCGTGTAGACCACAGCTACCTGCTCTCTGTGGTTGGCTTCTCTCGGCAGCGCTTCTGCCGATCTCCACGTCAGCAGGCTTATTGCTTTAAGAGAAATTCCTAGAAGTGGATTTGGGGTTCAGAGGTGCCGAGCTACCTCAGGAAGCTCATGCTGCAGGGTGGAGCTCCCCATCCGCCTTCCAGGGGCCCGAGTCAGAGCTCAGTGGCCTGCCGCAACTTCCCCATGCCTGGGGACTGTTTGAAATCCCTCTGCCAGTGTTGTCCAAAGCCTCTGCACAGGTTTTCATTTTCTGTTTGCTTATCAGCAAGGGGGACACTCTGGTCCCGCACCCCGTAACTTCCTTTCTCTGTGATGATGGGGGGTGGAACATGTGTGAGGCAGGCGCTCTCCCACTGAGCTTCGAGCACCAGCTCTTTTTAAATTTGAAGTCATAGTTTCCCTAAGTTGCCCAGGCTGTCCCTGGAGTCTCAATCTCCTCCCTGCCCTTGTAAATAGCTGGGCTTACAGACTGGCACTTCTAGGCCCGCCTGTCACTTCCCTCTGAGAGAATTCCTCCTGGGTTTTTCCAAGATCCAGGGCAAAGCCTTCTTTTCCTGTGAACTCTTTCCTGACATTTCACTTTTCTCAAACGGTGCGCGCGCACACACACACCAAAGGAGGAAGTTGGGTGTCCTGCCCTATCACGCAGTCTTACTCCCTTGAAGCAGGGTCTCATGAATACAGGGTGCTGGGAACACCTTAGGTCCTCATGTTTGGGCAGCAAGCACTTTCCTCCCCTGAACCATCCCTGCCAACCACAAGCCGTCTGTTCTAACGTTCACCTTCCATTTCCCCCAGAACAGCTTTTGTAGCGCTCTGTCAAGATGTCCTTCCTCATTCAAGTCGACACCTTTGACCTGAGCTGGAGTCACGGTCTTTAAGTTGTGGAGGGGGACTTACTCGTTTTTCTGGTATCCACCAGGCCTGGCACAGTGAATGGCAGCGCTAGCCTCAGTGGGAAGGCCTGGCTTGGCTCCCCGACAGACAGGCAGTCCACCACCCACCCCGTCATGCTGCGAAGCAGCCAGTGCCTGGTTGACAGTTTGACAACACATATCATTACCAGTGACGGCCTTGCAGAATCAGCCTGTGTAATCACAGTGTTCAGAACATGGAAAGGCCAAGAGAAGAGAACAAGGGCCGGCTCCTTCCCACTTGGCCCCCTGCGCCTGCCTGCCTGCCTGCCTGCCTGCCTGCCTCCCTCACTTTTTTAAAAAAAAAGTTTTTAAATTATCATATTATGTGTATAGGTGTTTTGCCAGCATGCATGAATGGCACCTTGTGTATACCTGGTGCCCACGGAGACCGGGAGAGGACTCCTATCCCCTGGAACCGGAGCTGCAGATGGTTGTGAGCTGTGGGTGCTGGGAATCGAACCCAAGGCTCTGGAAGAACAGCCAGTGCTCTTAACCTCTGAACCATCTTTTAAGCTCCACTCTCTTTAATGTGAGACAGAGTCTCATGTAGCCCAGGTTGGCCTTGAACTCACTGTGGAGCCCTAACTGGCCTTGAACTCCTGATGCCGCTCGCTGCCCTGGGCTCCTGAGTGTGGAGATTTCCGGTGTGTCCCACCACTGCGCGTGCTTTCTAGCCAGAATTTTTTTTTCTTTCTTTCTTTTTTTTTTTTTTTTCTTTTGGCCCCTGACATGGTTTGCGAATCTGCCCTATTGGATTCTTGTTATGCTTTTGTCGCTGAATAAAAACTACACACAGAGCTGTGTGTTGAAACTTGTTCGGCGGTTTGGTCATAGTTGACGAAGCAGCGGTTTTAGAGTCGTTTCCTTAGCATGGCTCCCAGGCCGGGTCCTGGGGCCGGTTCCCTTGTAAACAGCCTGGACAGGCTCTTCAGCTGAGCCACCGGCCACCGGCCCACCACAGCAGGAGCCTTCCCTTCTCTGCCCTTGCCGGCCTGGACCCCCTGCATCTCTCGCTTCTGGTTTCCTAGGATCTTGTGTAGCAACAGATTGAGAAACGACTTCCTTTTTCAGGAAGAAAACACAAGTGTTTGAGTCCACGGGAGGCCAGATAGGGGTAAAGCCTCATGCCCTGCAGGGTGAGAGCCTCAGCCCTGCTTCCCCCACACGCTCACGGGTGCAGCCCTGCAGGCGTGGGTAAGCCCAGCCTTTGGAGGGATCTAGAGGCCCTGGTCACACACTCTCTGGCCTGGGGGTTGGTAGTAGACACTTGGCTCCATTTTCTGCCTCCTCCCAGCCTCCTCTGCTTTAGGGGAAGTCTGTTCCCAGTGTCTTGTGGATGATTCTTCTGGGGGGTGGGGCACTCCCTGGGGCTGCTGAGATGGGAGTCGCCTTAGGCTTGACTTCAACCCCACCTCTCTGAGGAGCGGCTCAGAGCAGGCTGAGAACTCCAAGTCCATCCGTCAGCTGACAGCCAGCAGGCCAGCTAAGGAGCCTGCCTGGCACAGTGAGGTGACATCATCTGGATTCTTAACCTCCTGATGGTTACCTCATCCCTGAGTCTGACTGTCATCCCTACACGAGACAGTTACAGTACCTGCCTGGTCAAAGTGAATTCGCGCCTGGATACTTTATAGATCAGCTCTTGATTTGTTAAATAAAAGTAGCTGAGCCAGGCATGGCAGTGCACGCATGCCTGTAATTCCAGCACTTCGAAGGCTGAGGCAGGAGAATTGAGGGTTGGAGACCAGCCCAGGTAGGCTACACGGTGAAACTCTGCCTTAAACAATAGCCGGCAGGGCTGGGGAGACGCTTCAGTCAGTGAAATGCTTGCCATGCAACCACGAGGTCTGAATTCAGATCCCCAGTGCCCACATAAAAAGCCCTGGTACCGGCGCTGGGGAGGCAGAGGGAAGAGTGTCCTGGAATCTTGCCGGGGAGGCAGCCTAGGCAGTCGGTGAGTTCTAGGTCCTTTGAGCATTCCTGTCTCAAAGGAGAAGCCGCAGAACAGTAGGTAAAGGCACTCAGCATTGACTTCTGACCTCCACAAGTGCGCACACTCACACACGCTGGCGGCCGGCAGAGCGGCTGGCCAACCAGTGGCTCCTACCGCAGGTGGAAACCAGGCTTTCTGACGTCCAGTAAGAGGGAGATGCTGAACTGTAATTTTGACTAAGTCACTGTTCTCCTGTGGGGTGACCTCCATGTCCTCATCAGCTTGTTATCTGGCAGGTCACTCTCATTTAGAAACTCAGAAGGGCTGGGGATGTTGAGGTAATTCCCAGTGTTATGGATGGGTCCAGTCCTGACGGTAGGTCCTGCTGGCTGACAGATCCCTGTTGGGGGCCGGCTGCCACAGACAGGAGGACAGGAGGACAGGACACCAGTGACCTTTGTGGTCCATCAGCATCCCCTTTATACAGGCGAGCTGTTCTCTGGCTGATGTAGTCATTAGAGTTTGGATCTGGGTCACCTGGGGATGGCCCTGGCTAGGTGAGATTCTAGCGCTGCCTTGTCTGGTGGAGTGAAAGCTGAGGTAGGCGTTCCTTCACCAAATGGGCCACAGTGTGTTACGGCCCACGGTGCTGGCTGCTTGCTTAGCCTGAGGTCTGTATGTGGATGAGACTGGATCTTACGCAAGACTGTGTGTGCACACGCATGCGTCCACCTCAGACGGTTACTCCAGAAGGCCGAGTACATAAAACTCCTGCAATTGGCATGGGGCAGGAGGCCCTCCATCTGGTTCTTTCTACCCATGGGTGGGGAGGAGTAAGTTGTGACTTGCGAGCCCCCGAGGGGAGGACACTGTGCTGATGAAGGAGGTTGAAGCTGATGAGTTCTCGCCAAGGTAGAGGACAGGCCTTCTGGAAAGTTGTGGCCACTCCTGGTCACACAGCAGAGCAGCTGTTAGCTCCCTCCCTGGGTGTGTGTATTGTCGGTGATGTAGCAGTGAGTGTGAGTGGAATGGGGCCGAAGGGGTCTGTTCTCAAGGCAGGGGTTTTCAGCGGGGTGGCCCGCTAGGTCAAAGATGGGCAGGGCAATGCAGAATATTTATTAGGCATTTGCTGAGGGTATTTGCTGTGGCAAGCAACCAGCTGAGGGGTGTTGGGTTAGCTCCTTGACCTCTGGGTCCTCATTTACAAGTGGTTCTCATACCAAGATATCTATCATTTGCCCAGCAGGTACCCCAAATTCTGCCATCAATGTTGTACTGGCCAGTTTTATGGCAATATAACATAAAACATTTGGGAAGAGGGAACTTCAGTTGAGAAACTGCCTCCACCAGACTAGCCTGTGGGCAAGCCTGTGGTACATTTTTTTTCTTGATTGATGATTGATGTGATAGGGCCCAGTTCACTGAGTGATGTCACGCCTGAGCTGGTGGCCCTGGGTTCTGTAAGAAAGCAGGCTGAGCAAGCCATGGGGAGCAATCCAGTAAGCAGTGCTCCTCCATGGCCTCTGCATCAGCTCCTGCCCCCAGGTTCGTCCTTGAGCTCCTGCCCTGACTTGCCCCTTTGATGGACCCTTAGCTGAAAGTGTAAACAGAAGTTAACCCCTTCCTTCCCAAGTTGTTTTTGGTTATGGTGTTTTATCGGTAGAAACCCTAACTGTCCTGTGGTAAAGAGAGTGGCCGTGGCAGTCACACTGCCTTCATGCAGCTGCAGGTCCTCCTTTGCCTACCTGAGCTGCGTGGTTTATGGTTGCTTGTCTCTGGTTCATTTCTCTGGGAAATGGGGACTGTGCTTGGCGTCAGCTTTGTAGGAGGATGACAGAAGTTAGCTCCGGGAGGCAGAGAAAACAGCACTGTGAGGATCCACTTCTGTGGGTACCTGGAGCCCACTGGTTATTTGGACGGCCCACATCATATTTATTTTCAAATGCACCCCTTTTTTGTTCAGGTGGAGTTCCTCTGGGTTAGCAGGTGAAGGTCCATGTCTGTGTCTGCTTATGTGTGTGTCCGTGTGTCTTTTCGAGTTGTGAGGTAGCAGGTGAATGTCCATGTCTGTGTTTATGTGTGTATATGTGTCTGTGTGTCTTTTTGATGTGTGCATACGTGTCTGTGTGTCTTTCTGAATTATGTCACCCCGGCCTAAGCCTGGAGAACAGCCCCTGTTCCTGCCTGGAGCAAGGCCACTTTGGCTTGCTCCCGTAGGCTACCTATGGCTGGGTAACTCTCACGGTTTGTTGGACTTTTCTGCCCAGGACTCTGTTTTACACAATCTAGCTTGGCCGGTGAACTGCTCTTGACCTCCTGGGAAGAGAGTGAGGCCCAGGGAAGTCATCTTTCAGGGCGAGTGTGAGTCAGCTGGACCCAGCCTCCCCTGCAATTACCCACTGTCAAGGAATGCTCAAAGATAGCTCGAGGTTTGCCATGGAAATACGCAGGAGAATGTTTAAGAATCTTAAGGCAATGATCAAGTCAAGTCTCTAACCGTCTTCAGAGATCCCAGGCCTTTGGAATTTTCTTGATAAAGATGGCTGAACTATGGGATAAGCAG